TCGATCTGCATGGGCTTAGAAGCACTTGCGGTGGACGATGGTAGGGCCAGACTTATCATATTCGCCCTTGGAGATCCACATCTGCTGGAAAGTGCTCAGAGAAGACAGAATAGAACCACCAATCCACACACTGTACTTGCGCTCAGGAGGAGCAACCACCTTGATCTTCATGATGGACGGTGCCAAAGCAGTGAGCTCCTTGGTCATTCGCTCACCAATGCCCTGGAACATGGTGGTTCCACCTGAAAGCACCACGTTGGCATAGAGATCCTTTCGAATATCGACATCGCACCTGGGTGCTTGATCGGTTGATCCCCGGCCAAAAATGCTCAAAGTCGAACTTCCTGTGGGATATGATGTGAATTCTGTGAAATCCCATGAAATCCCTAAAAAACTTAAAGTATCTTAAAATCTCGAAACATCTCAGTAATTCTTAGCCTTCTTACGGCTGAACACCACCAAGGAACTTCATAATCGATTGGAAGGTGGTGTCATGAATGCCGCTGGCCTCCTTGCCCACGAAGCTTGGCTGGAACAGGACTTCTGGGCAGCGGAAACGCTCAGATCCAACGGTGATGATGTTGCCATCAGGCAATTCGTAAGTCTTCTCCTTGTCACTGCTCTCAGATGCAGCCTTCATCTCGCTGTCAAAGTCCAAGGCGATGTAGCAAAGTTTCTCCTGGAAATTGATGGATTTGTTGGAACTTGTGGCAGCGGCGCCGCTGAAACTGCAGAAGAAATGTAGTGGAAATCACAATATCCCAAGGGTGGTTCACACCGTTCATCAACATCTTTCATCAGCATGTTTCATTAGCATGTGTCATCCTGACTCTAGTCATGACTTATCCTGTAAATTCTAATATACATTGATGCAACCATGGTACTAGCAGGGGGTCGATACCACTCTCTTACATACACCTCACATCCCCTTATATACTACCTCTAAATCTCATTCTCCAAACGGGCCTTGACCTCTCGAATAATCTCGCGCTCAGCGGTGGTGGTGAAGGAGTAGCCGCGCTCAGTGAGGATCTTCATCATGTACTCCGTAAGGTCACGACCAGCCAAGTCCAAACGCAGAATGGCATCAGGCAAAGCATAGCCCTCATAGATGGGCACGGTGTGGCTCACACCGTCGCCACTGTCCACCATCATTCCAGTGGTTCGGCCAGATGCATACAAGGACAGCACAGCCTGGATTGCAACATACAATGCAGGCACCTTGAAGGTCTTGAACATGAGCTCAGTCATGAGTTCACGGTTCTTCTTTGGGTTCAAGGGAGCTTCAGTCAGCAAGACTGGATGCTCTTCCGGAGCTACACGCAGCTCGTTGTAGAAGGTGTGATGCCAAATCTTCTCCTCAGCTTGCTTAAACTTTGCATCACAAGGAATCTGCATGAATCTGAAAGTTGATACTCATGTCTTCCAAGACTTCAAAAGCTTCCAAGACTTCAAAGACTTCAAAAGCTTCAAAGACTTCAAAAGCTTCCAAGACTTCAAAGATGCAAAGGGTGCTTCACTCATGTTGAATCTCTCTCCCTCCCACAAACAATCTGGAACATGGTAACATCTGCTCAGAATTTAGCTGAAAATATCTGAAAGTAAAGTACTTGATCAAACTCAAATTCCATAGAGAGATGTCGAGAGGTTCAAAAAGAATCACAAAGAGTCTTCTACGTGCTTTTCACCAAAGCTCCATGTCATCCCAATTGGTGACGATGCCATGCTCAACGGGATACTTCAAGGTCAGCACACCTCGCTTGCTCTGCGCCTCGTCTCCTACATAGCTGTCCTTCTCGTCCATGCCAACCATGATTCCAGGCATCTTTGGCCGGCCAACAATGGATGGGAAAACTGCTCGTGGAGCAACATCACTTGCAAAGCCGGCCTTGCACATTCCGCTTCCGTTGTCCACCACAAGCGCGGCAACTTCTTCGTCACCCATGGCTGCGAGAATAAAGGAGTGCTAAAAGGAGTCGCGAAATGATGTGTGCAAAACCACTGGAGCCCGAAATTTCAAATGGGCAACTTCGGTGTCCACATGTCACGCACTTCTCAGATAGTGACACTGTAAATGGCAATGAATGGAATCTAAGTTCCTCCCGCTTCTTGCAGAAAAATAAAAAAACACATTCTAAAGATTCTGCACTGCATGGAGAAAGTGGAAGAATGCAACCCAGGTATGCAGATCATGGTCATGTCTCTTAACTCTTCTAACTTTTGAGACTCGCTGAGCCCTCACTCAGACTGTTCTGTCTATTTGAGCAGGTGTGAACCTGAAGGCCTAGCCCTCTGCAACACAGCCTGCCCTATGCCCCGGGAAGGAATGAATTTGAATCCATGTGCACAAATGCACGACGGAACTCACAGTGCAACTGTGAACATGAGGCTTGCATTGCAAACCCCTACGACACTGAAGCTACACTGCCTACCTTTGGACACATCTAGTGCGTCGATCTGCATGCGCTTAGAAGCACTTGCGGTGAACGATGGTAGGGCCAGACTCATCATATTCGCCCTTGGAGATCCACATTTGTTGGAAAGTGCTCAGAGAAGACAGAATAGAACCACCAATCCACACACTGTACTTGCGCTCAGGAGGAGCAACCACCTTGATCTTCATGGTGGACGGTGCCAAAGCAGTGAGCTCCTTGGTCATTCGCTCACCAATGCCCTGGAACATGGTGGTTCCACCTGAAAGCACCACGTTGGCATAGAGATCCTTTCGAATATCGACATCGCACCTGGGTGCTTGATCGGTTGATCTGTTGCCTGTGGGATCTGTGGGATATGATGTAAATTCTGTGAAATCCCATGAAATCCCTAAACACAACTTAAAGTATCTTAAAATCTCGAAACATCTCAGTAATTCTTAGCCTTCTTACTGCTGAACACCACCAAGGAACTTCATAATCGATTGGAAGGTGGTGTCATGAATGCCGCTGGCCTCCTTGCCCACGAAGCTTGGCTGGAACAGGACTTCTGGGCAGCGGAAACGCTCAGATCCAACGGTGATGATGTTGCCATCAGGCAATTCGTAAGTCTTCTCCTTGTCACTGCTCTCAGATGCAGCCTTCATCTCGCTGTCGAAGTCCAAGGCGATGTAGCAAAGTTTCTCCTGGAAATTGATGGTTTTGTTGGAACTTGTGGCAGCGGCGCCGCTGAAACTGCAAAAGAAATGTAGTGGAAATCACAATATCCGAAGGGTGGTTCACATCGTTCATCAACATCTTTCATCAGCATGTTTCATCAGCATGTGTCATCCTGATTCTAATCATGACTTATCCTTTAAATTCCTTTGTACGTTAATATACATTAATGCAACCATGGTACTAGCAGGGGGTCGATACCACTCTCTTACATTGTTACATACACCTCACATCCCCTCATATACTACCTCTAAATCTCATTCTCCAAACGGGCCTTGACGTCTCGAACAATCTCGCGCTCAGCGGTGGTGGTGAAGGAGTAGCCGCGCTCAGTGAGGATCTTCATCATGTACTCCGTAAGGTCACGACCAGCCAAGTCCAAACGCAGAATGGCATGAGGCAAAGCATAGCCCTCATAGATGGGCACGGTGTGGCTCACACCGTCGCCACTGTCCATCACAATTCCGGTGGTTCGGCCAGATGCATACAAGGACAGCACAGCCTGGATTGCAACATACATTGCAGGCACGTTGAAGGTCTCGAACATGATCTGAGTCATGCGTTCACGGTTGGCCTTTGGGTTCAAGGGAGCTTCAGTCAGCAAGACTGGATGCTCTTCCGGAGCTACACGCAGCTCGTTGTAGAAGGTGTGATGCCAAATCTTCTCCTCAGCTTTCTTAAACTTTGCATCATAAGGAATCTGCATGAATCTGAAAGTTGATACTCGTGTCTTCCAAGACTTCAAAGACTTCAAAAGCTTCCAAGACTTCAAAGATGCAGGAATCTCTCTCCCTCCCACAAACAATCTGGAACATGTGTAACATCTGCTCAGAATTTAGCTGAAAATATCTGAAAGTACAGTGCTTGATCAAACTCAAATTCAATAGAGAGATGTCGAGAGGTTCAAAAAGAATCACAAAGATTCAAAACGAGTCTTCTACGTGCTTTTCAGCAAAGCTCCATGTCATCCCAATTGGTGACGATGCCGTGCTCAATGGGATACTTCAAGGTCAGCACACCTCGCTTGCTCTGCGCCTCGTCTCCTACATAGCTGTCCTTCTGGTCCATGCCAACCATGATTCCAGGCATCTTTGGCCGGCCAACAATGGATGGGAAAACTGCTCGTGGAGCATCATCACCTGCAAAGCCGGCCTTGCACATTCCGCTTCCGTTGTCCACCACAAGCGCGGCAACTTCTTCGTCACCCATGGCTGCGAGAATAAAGGAGTGCTAAAAGGAGTCGCGAAATGATGTGTGCAAAACCACTGGAGCCCGAAATTTCAAATGGGCAACTTCGGTGTCCACATGTCACTCACTTCTCAGATAGTGACACTGTAAATGGAAATGAATGGAATCTAAACTCCTCCCGCTTCTTGCAGAAAAATCAAAAAAAAACATTCCGAAGATATCTAAAGATTTTGGACTGCATGGAGAAGGTGGAAGAATGCAACCCAGATATGCAGATCATGGTCATGACTCTTAACTCTTCTAACTTTTGCGACTCGCTGAGCCCTCACTCAGACTGTTCTGTCTATTTGAGCAGATGTGAACCTGAAGGCCTAGCCCTCTGCAACACAGCCTGCCCTATGCCCCGGGAAGGAATGAATTTGAATCCATGTGCACAAATGCACGACGGAACTCACAGTGCAACTGTGAACATGAGGCTTGCATTGCAAACCCCTACGACACTGAAGCTACACTGCATGCCTACCTTTGGACACATCTAGTGCGTCGATCTGCATGCGCTTAGAAGCACTTGCGGTGAACGATGGTAGGGCCAGACTCATCATATTCGCCCTTGGAGATCCACATCTGCTGGAAAGTGCTCAGAGAAGACAGAATAGAACCACCAATCCACACACTGTACTTGCGCTCAGGAGGAGCAACCACCTTGATCTTCATGGTGGACGGTGCCAAAGCAGTGAGCTCCTTGGTCATTCGCTCACCAATGCCCTGGAACATGGTGGTTCCACCTGAAAGCACCACGTTGGCATAGAGATCCTTTCGAATATCGACATCGCACCTGGGTGCTTGATCGGTTGATCTGTTGCCTGTGGGATCTGTGGGATATGATGTAAATTCTGTGAAATCCCATGAAATCCCTAAACACAACTTAAAGTATCTTAAAATCTCGAAACATCTCAGTAATTCTTAGCCTTCTTACTGCTGAACACCACCAAGGAACTTCATAATCGATTGGAAGGTGGTGTCATGAATGCCGCTGGCCTCCTTGCCCACGAAGCTTGGCTGGAACAGGACTTCTGGGCAGCGGAAACGCTCAGATCCAACGGTGATGATGTTGCCATCAGGCAATTCGTAAGTCTTCTCCTTGTCACTGCTCTCAGATGCAGCCTTCATCTCGCTGTCGAAGTCCAAGGCGATGTAGCAAAGTTTCTCCTGGAAATTGATGGTTTTGTTGGAACTTGTGGCAGCGGCACCGCTGAAACTGCAAAAGAAATGTAGTGGAAATCACAATATCCGAAGGGTGGTTCACATCGTTCATCAACATCTTTCATCAGCATGTTTCATCAGCATGTGTCATCCTGACTCTAATCATGACTTATAAATTCCTTTGTACGTTAATATACATTAATGCAACGATGGTACTAGCAGGGGGGTCGATACCACTCTCTTACATTGTTACATACACCTCACATCCCCTCATATACTACCTCTAAATCTCATTCTCCAAACGGGCCTTGACGTCTCGAACAATCTCGCGCTCAGCGGTGGTGGTGAAGGAGTAGCCGCGCTCAGTGAGGATCTTCATCATGTACTCCGTAAGGTCACGACCAGCCAAGTCCAAACGCAGAATGGCATGAGGCAAAGCATAGCCCTCATAGATGGGCACGGTGTGGCTCACACCGTCGCCACTGTCCATCACAATTCCGGTGGTTCGGCCAGATGCATACAAGGACAGCACAGCCTGGATTGCAACATACATTGCAGGCACGTTGAAGGTCTCGAACATGATCTGAGTCATGCGTTCACGGTTGGCCTTTGGGTTCAAGGGAGCTTCAGTCAGCAAGACGGGATGCTCTTCCGGAGCTACACGCAGCTCGTTGTAGAAGGTGTGATGCCAAATCTTCTCCTCAGCTTTCTTAAACTTTGCATCATAAGGAATCTGCATGAATCTGAAAGTTGATACTCGTGTCTTCCAAGACTTCAAAGACTTCAAAAGCTTCCAAGACTTCAAAAGCTTCAAAGACTTCAAAAGCTTCCAAGACTTCAAAGATGCAAAGGGTGCTTCACTCATGTTGAATCTCTCTCCCTCCCACAAACAATCTGGAACATGTGTAACATCTGCTCAGAATTTAGCTGAAAATATCTGAAAGTACAGTGCTTGATCAAACTCAAATTCAATAGAGAGATGTCGAGAGGTTCAAAAAGAATCACAAAGATTCAAAACGAGTCTTCTACGTGCTTTTCAGCAAAGCTCCATGTCATCCCAATTGGTGACGATGCCGTGCTCAATGGGATACTTCAAGGTCAGCACACCTCGCTTGCTCTGCGCCTCGTCTCCTACATAGCTGTCCTTCTGGTCCATGCCAACCATGATTCCAGGCATCTTTGGCCGGCCAACAATGGATGGGAAAACTGCTCGTGGAGCATCATCACCTGCAAAGCCGGCCTTGCACATTCCGCTTCCATTGTCCACCACAAGCGCGGCAACTTCTTCGTCACCCATGGCTGCGAGAATAAAGGAGTGCTAAAAGGAGTCGCGAAATGATGTGTGCAAAACCACTGGAGCCCGAAATTTCAAATGGGCAACTTCGGTGTCCACATGTCACGCACTTCTCAGATAGTGACACTGTAAATGGAAATGAATGGAATCTAAGCTCCTCCGGCTTCTTGCAGAAAAATAAAAAAACATTCTAAAGATTCTGCACTGCATGGAGAAGGTGGAAGAATGTAACCCAGTTATGCAGATCATGGTCATGTCTCTTCTAACTTTTGCGACTCGCTGAGCCCTCACTCAGACTGTTCTGTCTATTTGAGCAGATGTGAACCTGAAGGCCTAGCCCTCTGCAACACAGCCTGCCCTATGCCCCGGGAAGGAATGAATTTGAATCCATGTGCACAAATGCACGACGGAACTCACAGTGCAACTGTGAACATGAGGCTTGCATTGCAAACCCCTACGACACTGAAGCTACACTGCATGCCTACCTTTGGACACATCTAGTGCGTCGATCTGCATGCGCTTAGAAGCACTTGCGGTGAACGATGGTAGGGCCAGACTCATCATATTCGCCCTTGGAGATCCACATTTGTTGGAAAGTGCTCAGAGAAGACAGAATAGAACCACCAATCCACACACTGTACTTGCGCTCAGGAGGAGCAACCACCTTGATCTTCATGGTGGACGGTGCCAAAGCAGTGAGCTCCTTGGTCATTCGCTCACCAATGCCCTGGAACATGGTGGTTCCACCTGAAAGCACCACGTTGGCATAGAGATCCTTTCGAATATCGACATCGCACCTGGGTGCTTGATCGGTTGATCCCCGGCCAAAAATGCTCAAAGTCGAACTTCCTGTGGGATCTGTGGGATATAATGTAAATTCTGTGAAATCCCATGAAATCCCTAAAAGAACTTAAAGTATCTTAAAATCTCGAAACATCTCAGTAATTCTTAGTTTTCTTACGGCTGAACACCACCAAGGAACTTCATAATCGATTGGAAGGTGGTGTCATGAATGCCGCTGGCCTCCTTGCCCACGAAGCTTGGCTGGAACAGGACTTCTGGGCAGCGGAAACGCTCAGATCCAACGGTGATGATGTTGCCATCAGGCAATTCGTAAGTCTTCTCCTTGTCACTGCTCTCAGATGCAGCCTTCATCTCGCTGTCGAAGTCCAAGGCGATGTAGCAAAGTTTCTCCTGGAAATTGATGGTTTTGTTGGAACTTGTGGCAGCGGCGCCGCTGAAACTGCAAAAGAAATGTAGTGGAAATCACAATATCCGAAGGGTGGTTCACATCGTTCATCAACATCTTTCATCAGCATGTTTCATCAGCATGTGTCATCCTGATTCTAATCATGACTTATCCTTTAAAAAAACTAATGCTACCGTGGTAGTGGTCGATACTACGCATCTTACACCTCACATCCCCTTACCACCTCTTAACTTATCTTTATCACATTCTCTCAATGGGCCTTGACGTCTCGAACAATCTCGCGCTCATCGTTGTATTTGCATGGACCCCAGGATGACTAAGTCCTAGAAGCCCGGGGGCGTTCACCTCAAATTAGCTGCATAGCCGTTGTAGTGCTCATGCACTGCCGCCAGCGTTGCAACCGTCCTCTCCTCCCAGTCGGCCGCATGTAGGGCCCGAATGTGCCAGGAGTGACGGGCTGAACCATGCAAGCGTCTGTCTAAACAATACTTGGCAGTTCTGTCCGCCCAGGCATTCCATGCGCGAAGTTGCGCTTCTCCTGCAAGTGGATGTGCAACAAATGTTGGAGATCGCTTGTCGTGCGATGGCACCCAAACAAATTGTACAAAACATCCAAAACCTTCAAGGTCTGCAATCAGTCGATGAAGTGATGAAGCCAAAAGAGGAACTTCCCCGCAGGCTCCCTGCGCCACATCAATGGCAGCTTGGCAATCGCTAACAATGACCAAAGTGCTAAAACGAAACTGACCTTGAATGGACAAAAGGGCACCACGAAGCACCAAACGGATGGCTTCAATCTCAGCTCTGAAACTACCTTGGTCCTCCCCAGCAACTCCTGCACTGATAGCGCGATCAGTGCCAGGGCAGACAACTGCAAAGCAAGCAACATCATGTTTCATTGCTCCGTCAGTGGCAACAAAACAATGGTCAGAAATAAGAGGAATTTGATCAAGTAGATCAGCCATCTCATTCACTAATCCGCCTGGGTCCACCACGATTGGGGGTGATGGAAACTCAGGTAAAGGCTTCGCAAATAAGCGTTCCTCGACACGGTCAACTGGGGCCAAAAGGCCCTGATGGAAAGAAGCCGTGGCCTCACATGCCCACATAAGATGCGGTCTAGAAGGAAGCACTTGACCACACATGCATTGAGCTCGTGCATCATCCGCTGTCAAACGAAGACCAGCGAAGGCCTTAGCCGCATGTCGCATCCATTCGCTGTCAGCCTTTTTCCATTGCTTCTTGTGTCCAGCAAACAAGCAATGCCACCACTGTTCAGGTCTCTGGAGGTTCAATCCAGAAGCCAAGTTCTGC